AAGTCTGGGATGAGGCAGGATAGGTAAGATGGGTCCAATAAGGATGGTAGGAAGCATATGGGTCACTCCTTAGTTGGGGGTGGGGGTATTCTAAGTGATAACAAGGTTCTGAGCCTTGACCATGCAAGTGTAGGTCTGTGAGAATTCATTACCAGGAGAGGTTCTGCCAACATGGGATGCGCTAACATGACCCGTGCTGTGATTTGGACAAGTTGCCCCCAAGGGGTGGTCCTTGTTCCAAGGTCTTGTGGGAAGTCCTTAAATCACACGTGGTATCACCTCAAAGACGATTGTGTGGGTCGGGGGACAGGCTGGAGAGATGGCTCAATGGTTAAGAGCACTGGCTGCTCTTGAAGAGGACCCAGGTATGATTCCCAGCACCCACATGATAGCTAACAACTGTCCATAACTCCAGTTGCAGGAGATACAACACCCTCTTCTGACCCCGACAGGCACTGCATGACATGGGTGCACTTACATACATGCAGACAATACACTCATACACATAAAATTAAAAATATTAAAGAAAATATTCTTTTTTAATGCCAGGCATGGTGGCACACACCTTTAATCCCAGCACTTGGGAGGCAGAGGCAGGCGGATCTCTGTGAGTTCAAGGCCAGCCTGATCTACATAGTGAGTTCCAGGACAGCTGGGGCTACAGGGAGACCGTCTCAAAAAGACCAAAAAATGAAATAAAATAAAAAAATAAATAAAATAAAATACGGAAAATATTCTTTTTTAAAAAGAGAAGATTGTGGAACTCTGATACCCCCATCTCCCGTCACTGGGAGCTGAGCAGTTTCCTCCATCTACATTTCCACCATGGTGTGTAGCTTTACCATAGGCCCAGGGGTCCTGGATCTCCCAGACTATGGACAAACCACCAAAGTCAAAATAAAACCTTTGCCCTTTTTTGGCATGTGTTATGTCACAGGTGATAATTTCAGTGCTGCCTTTATCCTCTGTCTCAAGCAGCCACTGACAGTAAAGCATTTTCTCAGCAAAGAATTTCTCAGCGAAGAATTTACCTGCTGGCCTCAACGCCATCTTGGTAAGCTAAGTGACCCATGTCTTTTCCAGCTTGTCCCATCTCTGCGTAGTAGACAAGCCATGGTGACCCATGCGGCCCCCCATCCAAATGTCCATTCTTGTGGCCACTCAGCTTTTGGAACAGAGGAGAGCTGCACATGTGTATGTAATATGGAGCCCAGGCTTGATGGGAGACAATGTAGTCTGTGTACCCATCTCAGATGTGCCACCCCTCTATGAATGCTGTGTTCTACCTGTGATGGTTAATCTTGATGAGATTTAGAATCACCTAGGGGACACACCTCTGACCCACTGTAGATGTGGGCAGCACCACTCCATGGACTAGACTCCAAGACTGCATAGAAAGGAAGTGAGTGCACGCAAGCATTCCTCATTCTGTTTTCTGCCAGTGGACAGTGTGCCGAGCTGCCTTACACTCTTGCCTCCATTCTTTCCTGCCACAATGGGTTATATTCTCAAACCATTAACCAACGAAACCTCTCCTTCCTTAAGTTGCCTTTGTCAGGTAGTCTGTCATAGCAGTGAGAAACATATTACCACTAGGCCACTCCCACCCAGCTGATGGAATTCACTAGTATGGAACCCACAGGGACAGAGAACTGCCTATGCCATGAAGCAGAGAGCAGCGAAACGAAGCACTGCTACCAGACACTGACTGAAGTTCAGTGTTGATTGAAAGCCAGAAGACAAAGGAGACATTGCACACCATTCCTACAAACAAAGTTAATCTGTGCTGTTAGAAGTTCAGACACCATTTATCCTTGAAGGGAAGCATCTGAACCCGCTAGAGACCTATTATGTTCGTTTCTTGATCTGGGCGTATCAGTTTTCAAAAAATGATCTGGTCATACACTCCCAAACTTTTCATCCTTTAGTGTGTTTCCCATAAAAAGTTACATTCCACAAAATGGGATGGGGAGATAGCTCACTCAGTTACATGCTTGCTACATAAGCATGAGGACCCAAGTTCCATCCCAAGATCCCACATAAAGAGCAAGGCTTGGTGGTGCCTGTAATCCCAGTGCTGGGAAGGTGGACACAGGTTGGTCTCTGGGACTCATTGGCCAAACTGACAAGCTCAAGGCTAGTGAGACCATCTCAAAAAATAAACTGCATGAGTGTGGTGGCACATACCTTTAATCCCAGTACTTGGGAGGCAGAGGCAGGTGGATCTGTGTTAGTTCAAGGCCAGCTTGGTCTACACAGTGAGTTCCAGGACAGCTGAGGCTACAAGGAGACCCTGTCTCAAAAACACCAAATATTTAAAAATAAAAAAATTTTAAAACCTGCACAGCTCCCCATGAATGACACCTACACTTGACCTCTGGCCTCTATGAGCTTGCTCTCGCTTGCTTTCTCTCTCTCCATCCCCCTCCCTCCCTCTCACACATATACACATGCACGTATGCACACACACACAAGTGAAAGAACTAAGAAAAGTTCGAAAATTAACTTCTTTTGGCACGATTTACAATGGCCATGCTCAATGTCTTAGTTTGGCTGAGCTGTCGGAAAGTTCTGGCCACTGATGCCTCAATATTCCACTGGTCCTTACAGATAAAAATTTACCATTTGTATAATTTGAATTTTTGGAAACTAGCTGTCTGGGGACTCAAGAGATGGCTCAGTAGTTAAGAGCACTGACTGCTCTTGCAGGACCCAGGTTGGGTTCATAGGACCCACATGGTGGTTAACAACTGCCCATTACTCCGGTTCCAGGGGATCCAATGCCCTCTTCTGACCTCTGTGGATATTGCACAACATAGGCACTTAAATACATGCAGACAGAACGCTAATACAAATAAAATTTAAAAAGAAGAAAAAGAAACTAGCTATCTGGGCAATTCGGGAAAAAAATATCCATGTTTATCAGCTGAGTTGGTGTTGTATGGAAATAGCCACAGTAGTGGAGAAACACTCAAATGTTTCTTCCACTTGACAGCATTAAACCTGTAAGGTCCTGCCTATGAGGGTCTGATGATAGAAAACTAATAAAATTCTCTAAATAGCCAGGCATGGTAGCACATGGCTTTAATCCAGGCACTTGGGAGGCAGAGAAAGATCTCTGTGAGTTCAAGGCCAACCTTGTCTACATAGAGAGTTCCAGGCCAGCTGGGGCTACAGAGAGACCCTGTCTCAAAACCAAACCAAACCAAAAAATATTCTATAAAGTGAAAAAAACTGCTGTGCCAAGCCCAAAGCCAGAGAGTCTCAGCCTCCCTCCTCTGGCTGGAAATGCTATGTCTAAATGGGACCCCACTCCTGGCTGGCACCCACAGTGGCAACAGACACAGTGCTAGAGGGAGTTCCCTAAAGATGCCCCTCACTGGATATCCCAAAGAAGGTCCCAACAGAGAAACCAGGGCCATTCCTTTCAGAGTATCAAAACACTGTGGAGACCACTCCTAAAGTCACACTTCCTGGCAGCAGTGATGACCAGTTTCACCAGAAAGAACATGGCCTGTCTGCCCAGGAAGAACTGGAGCACGCAGCCTGGCCCCTACTCTTCCCACTGACCAGCAGGATCAGACTTCGTCCAAACTCATACCTGCCCCAGGCAGGGCCCTTGGAGTCCCTAGTCCCTAGGCAACCCTGACCCAACAGGATAGTCTGTTCCCTGCTTCTTTCAGTGTCATAAGGAAAGCATCCTGACCAGCTTCATTGAACCACCACACCCTAAGGGATAGTTGGAAACTCATAGCCCAGTGAGAATCCCAGAAGCACTGCGGCCCAATGCAGTCCTGGGCTTTGGCAACACAAAGAGCAGAGATTCCACCCTTTAACACTTAACAGGAGTGGAACAGACCCAGGACACCCCACAGAGCTGGCTTTGGGGGAATCATCCATCAGAAGGCTCACTCCGAAACCAGATTCCTCTTCCAGCTGAGGAACTGGAAAGTCAGAGAAAGGGAAAGGAGCCTTGAACCTATCACTTTGACTTGATTTTAAAACAAGACCTTAGGTTTAGAACAAGACAGGAGAAAGCAGTCAGAGAAGGCCAAGTGTGGTGGTACATACCCAACAATCACTTAGGAGGCAGAACAATATGGATCTCTGTGAGTTTGAGGCTACCCTGGTCTACATACTCCATGAACTTGAACTCCTGATTCTCCTGCTTCTACCTCCTGGGATAGGCATACTTGTCCAGTTGAGAAAAGCCTTTCTAATGGTAGGCTGACATTTACCCGCAACAGAAGGGAGATTAGAATTCCCCATTTAACCTCTAGTAGGTCAAATTCTACTAGAGGCACCAGGCTAGTCAATCTACAAGGCCCCCAAGGAGTCCAACACTCTGGATTTTGCACAGGGCTGACAGACTGGAGCCCCTTCTGCATTACAGGAAAGGTGTGGGGCTCCAGCTTTCTCCTGTACCCTACCTGTTGGTCCTCACTGGGCAAATATAAGGATACCTGGGATTCCTCCAGGGGCAGAATTCCAGTGGGCAGAGGGATCTGGGGAAGTCCATCACAGAGAGGGAGGCTGTGTCCTCAGTGGGAATCTGTTAGGAACATTCTTTTCTAGCGTTCTGAGGCAGGTATAGGGGTTAGGTCAAACTTTCTCTGGGAGAAAAGGTTTCTGAGTAAAGACATGGCAAGAGGTAGAATCTGACTTCTTTCAAGCTTTTGTCTAAGAGCAAGCCCAAGTACCAACAAAGTTCTCCTTGAAGTAATTAATGATGACATGGAGAAACCCACAGAGCAGATGGCAGAAGGTTGGCTAAGGAGGGGGAGGTCCCCGCTCTGAGGAATGACCCAGGTAGACTGGCCTCCCTGAAGCATTCATAGCAATGGAGTGCTCTAATCCTTCTACAACCCAAAACTGGAGTGCTGGGTGTCAGGCTGACAGAAGGGAATCCTCCCTATTGATACCCACAGCCCTACTACTGACTTAAAGATACCCCGTCCCCACATCCAGCCTCTGCTAGTCCACTGGCTGTCCTCACTCACCTGTGTGAGGTGCGCATGTCCACAGGCCCATCTCCCACCAGCCCTTCGCCTGATCCTGTGACTGAGGCCTCTGCTGTCCTAAGCAATCCCTGGGCTGGGCCTGCACCAGGCTCCGGCGTCACCCTGGTGTCTCCATCCATGGTCAGCTCTAATGGTCCTCTCTCCATCTTCATTTTCTTGCTCTCCACATCATGTTCTGTTGGGTCAGGTTCAAGGACTCGTTTCTGATTGCGGGTTCGGCATACTTCTTCACTCATTCTGCACGTGGAGAGGAGGAGAAGACACAGTATTTGAACTGGGCAGAGATAATCAGCCCCCTTCTTAGAATCTTTTAGGTATCTATGTTTTCCTCATGGGTAAGGTTGGCTAAAGCAGGAACAACAAGAACAGGGCACAGAAGCTCCTCCAAGTCTATCTTCACACCTTGGGGAGGCCTAGATAGGAAGGGAGGACCCCAGTCTGAGACGTGACCAGCTTTGGGGAGTCCTGCAATCAGAGTGGGAAAAGAGCAATAGCAGCTGCTTCTAGGATAGGGAGGTGCTGTGCTCCAGTTCTGGGTGAGGGAGCCTGTTCTAGGTCTGAAGGCCCAGCCTGTCCTGCACTGCTATATGTGGGACCTGGGGAAAGGTGACTTCAGGTGCTGTGTTCCTGGGCTCACCCCTGTTGCTTCCCTTCAGGAGGAAGGGAATGAGGGTCACATTGAGCCCTTTGATTGGTGGAGAGATACACTCTGAGCAGAGCGAGGCCTGGCCCATTGGTGTGCCACCACCCTGTACCTGCAGCACACACATATCTTGATTTGAAGAAGAAAGAAAAAGAAGGAAAAAAATCGCTGAGTCAGTTTTTGATCCCATGACATCACTGGGCTCCACATGACCCTTCCCAGGATTCAGTCAGAGAGACAAAGCACTTTCCAGAAAACCAGTCTGAACCGGTTCCAGACAACACAGCTGAAGTGAAGTGTGGTTAACCCTCACAGAGACAGGACAACGCTGGCATTCCATAGCAGGGTCTGGGACGAGGGCTCTCTTAAAGGGGCCGCTCTGAGTCCAGGCCTCAACACTGCAGGACAGGATACCAGCTTTGGGAGAGCCAGGGTCTAAGAGAACCAACCCCAGAGCTCACTAAGAACAGAAAAAGAAATCAATCCATAGCTGAGCTCTAGCAGAATTTCTGAGGGACAGCTGGCATCCACCAAGTATAGCCCTACAGAGAACATCAGTTCCCACCTGCAGCAGGCTCAGTGCCAAAGCCTCTGGTTCTGCATCCTTGAAGGCAGAGCACCATCTTTCCAGTGCCTCAGATTCCCCACTGGCAAATAAATACTCTGGGGAAGACCTGTCCTGGGCAGAGCACCTTTTGTATTCTGGGAGTCTGGGAGCACTGTTATTGGGGATGTATTCCCATGTTCACAAGCTCAGAATGCCTCTAAAGGAGTTGACTCACAAGTGAGCACTAGCCCAGGCCCCACCAACCTGCCCTTACATGGATTAAAGGAGAAAGCTGGCAAGCCACAAGTCAGTGAGGCCCCACTAGGGCCCTTCCATATCCTGTCACCCTCTTCACAGGCCCAGGACACTCCCTGTCCCATCTCAGAAGAGTGAGGACCTGAGAGCTTCCTCCGTGGCACCACCCAGACACCATGCTTTGACCCTAACATGACTCAGCCAGGGTTGGGGATGGGATTCAATCCCAAACATCAGTGGGACCATTTGCTCCCAACCATCCTGCTATCCCAACCTGCAACTACCATGTGCTCTACACCAGCCACCCTCAGCCAGCAAGTCAGCCCCATCTCTACTTCCCCCAGAGTTCCTCTCAGCCCTGGGGTTCTATGACTTTGATCCTCCTCTAACACACCTACCACAGACCCTGTCAGACCTTCTGACAATGTCTGTCTTGTCTGCCTGTGAAAGCAAACAAGCCACTTGCCCTGGGGTGTCAGTACCCAACCCCATTGTAGGAGGGATGATTGCAGGTACTGCATGAAGCAGAGTTGCTTAGAGTTCTAGAACAGGGGTGAAGAGCCAACTTGGCAGAAGCCCAGGACAAGGTACACATACTTCCAGTCCTGGACTGGGGAAAGACAGGGAGCCTAGGAACTCAGACATGAAGGACATGTGGAGGAGTCAGGGCATCATGTTCTAGCCCTACTAAGGGGGAAGTTCTAGGTCTGGCCTGGTGCCTACTGCAAGACAGAGAGGGAGGAGAATGCCCTTGAGTCTGTGATTGGCAGAAGGCTCCCACCATACCTATGCTCAGTTATGTGGGGCTTCCCAGGGCAGCCTCCAACCTCAATCTCTCATAAACTCATTCAACCCACTGTCTCTCCATGTTGGAGAGAAAAAGCAAAGATCTAGCAGGGGTTGGAGGGCTGCTCTTTCTAGCCCCAGAGGGCCTTCATGTGGCAACTTGTCAGGCCTCAAATAGTGCCCAGGAGCCCATCAGGGTGTGCTAGAATCTATCATGGCAGCCTCAGACAGGGGGCTTGCCCTCCCCACATCTAGAAGGAAAAGCAAGCTGGAGGGGAGGCCACCATGCAGAACCTCCAGCAGGCTCTGACTTCTACACCTAGGACCTGAGCAAGTCTCCTCCACAGCTGTGTCCTTGAGGAAGGCCTGAGGTTGAACAACCCAGCCCATTACCCAGTTTGCATTCTGTGGTAAAGAGAGGCTCCCTCAAGACCAGCAGGACCAGAGCCCCCAGGGAACTAGGGCTGGTAGCCACCTCACTGCAAGCACAAAATGGTAACCAGCCTACCTTAGGAAGCATCCTAAGAGGCAGGGGAAAGGGTTCAACTGCCCACTGACAAATGAGGATAGGTTTCAAAATTCCCACAGGAGAGGGAAAGAAAGCTGTCTCTGCAGAGCAGTCACTACTGCCTCTTCAGGAGCTGTTCAGGAGCTGTTCAAAGTCTGGAGTCTACTAGCCACCGCCTACAGGGCAGCAATAAAAGGAAACAGTGGTCATTTTAAGGGTGGCAGCATTGAGGTCACCAGTGTCATCCAGATACCAAGAAAGAGGACTGGAAACCTACAGCTGCAGCCTCCTTGCTCTTTCTCAACACCCAGGGCTGGGCCTGCCTAGCCCAGCAAACCCCAGTAACCACCAATGGGGCCTATTAGTTGATGGGTAGCTGGAGATGCAGCAGAGTTCTCTCAGCGAGGGACCCACACAAGTGCCTCCACCAGCCCCAGGACAAAGGGGTCACTGAGTCCTTGTGGAACACCAACAGTAGGACTCTGAGGCGGTACAAAAGTCAGAAACACCTGCCTAGAGGCTGTTTCCTTTCAATAAAAGGCCGCATAATGCAACTGCAGGGAGAACCTCAGGCAGGAAGCCAACTCTAAGACAACTGCCAAAGACTAACTACTGCAGCAGGGACTAGGAGGATTCTAGGGCCAAGGTTAAGCACAGGCTAAGCATGGTGGGCTAGTGAGCATCTCCTGTGAAGTCCACAGCACAAGCCAGAGTCCAACTCTGCCACACTAAAATACTACAGGACAGTAGCCCATCTAAAGTGCTTGGGGTCAGAATTATTCTGATTCTGCAGTATCTGCTTACCCTTTCCTGGGTGAGCATGCATAAAATTGAATGAAAAGTTTGACAATGCTGAAACTGTGCTCAACAGGTTTTAGACTTTGGTGCTCTTCTGACTGCAAAGGTTCAATGTGGACTAGCAATATTACTAGTAATACTTAGGGGATTGGCAGGAAGTGCGTGAGGTACTTAGAAGTGACAGCTGATGTTTGTATCCTGGGGAATCTTAGCACTGTGGGTTGGAGAGAAGGGAGACTGAAAACTTCCCCTTCCTACCCTCTCACCCAATGGCAGCTCCCTGGGCCTCCACTATAGGAGCAGTTGTCCTAGGGGCTGTGGATTACTGTGTGCTCAGGAATGCACAGCTGGGGAAGGACTGAAATGGCCAAGGGGGTCAGGTGACAGGACTGTGGGAATGTAAGGCAGAGCTGAGTGGTCAGGGCAACCAGAAAAGCAGGGGCCAAGTGTTAAAAGAGCGCATCAGAACTCAGTCATCATCTGGAGACAGTCCAGATGTAGTGTGGAGCAGTGTCAAGGAACATGCTGAGCCTGGGGAAGTAGAGCAGTCAGGACACAGTACAGAGGGGTCCAACTTGCTCTAAAGGACTATCTGGCCTGGGGATGGTAGGGCACAAAGCAGTGGACCACCAGCCCATAGCACAAGCCTTCCCTGCTAGGTATGCTCTGAAGCCAAGCACCAATGTAAGGGAGAGGAAGCTCTGGTTTTATCTGGTTTTGCCAAAGCAACTAAGAACGGACTCCTGAAACAGGGAAGGAAAGTTATGACTGCAGTTGGATAAGACCATGGAGCCCTCTTTGGGGGCAGCTGCTATACCAGTGGCAAGGGGCATCACTTCCTTTCAGGAAGGAATCAGGCCTTATAAAGCAGCCCACACCTGGTCAGACAATGACAAGGCCAATACAACTGAAGGCTGGGTCTAGGCACCATCGCCTAAGCATCACATGAATCCCAAACACAAGGCACAGAGATCTGGCTAGCCAGCTCTACACCTACTACTGGGAACCCTAGAGTGCAGAGCCTCAGCCTAGTGACCAGGCCACCCTCATCTGTGGCTGGAACTTAAGAACCGTGTTCATTCTGCCTAGGCAACACAACCTGAGTAAGCTCCCCCACACCACCTGGGGTCAAAGAGATGTCTCTGAGGCCCAGAGCACCTGGGGACAACTCAGAAAGAAGACACTTAAGCCATTACAGGTGGAAATTCTCCCAAGCAGAACATATTCCCCAACCTACATGGATAGGATGTAGCCACTGACACACATCCAAATGACAGAGTGCCTGGGACTTATTCTGGAAGGAACTCAGACTTAAAGTGCCAAATCTCAACTTTTTAAATAATGTCAAGTCTCAATAAGGCAAAATACAGAGATGTAATTAACCTTGAGACAGAAATGTGATCTGGGCCAAGGTAGAGAACATAGCTGGAGCCTCAGTGTCCCCAGCTCCACCTCACCAACAGCACATGTAAAAGACATGGAATACAGCCAGGCATGGTGGCACATGCCTTTAATCCCAGCACTCAGGAGGCAGAAGCAGGTGAATCCCTGTGATCGAAGCCAGCCTGGTCTACATAGTGAGCTCTAGGCCAGCTGGGGCTACAGGGAGATCCTGTCTCAAAAACAAGAGAGAGTGGTGCTGATGCTGAGAACAGCTTAAAGGAGAAAAATCAAGTTGCCAAGTACTAAGTATGTCCACA